ACCAAGATGGCTGTATAGGTAAACGCCTGTACTCAGCCTCCCGCAACTTACAGCAACATGACAACTAAAATACAGAGCAACCATCATGCTGAACTGCCCGGAAGCTGGCTGAACAGAAGCCCTACAACCAGAGAAATGAAGAAAGCACACCGAGACTGGTAGGAGGGGCGGAACAGGCTGGTCACGTGTGCCGTTGTGTTTTTTTAACTGGGAGGGAGATGTCCTAAGGAGGCTGCCAGGGAGGAGCAAGGGGTCCCAGCCTAGGGTTCCAGGGCTGGGAAGAGAAGTCCACGCAACTACAGGCTATAAAAAGCAGGGGGATTGTGGCTAAGTGACAAGGAGACTTAAGGGGAACACTGGGATTCCAGCAAAGGGCTCATGCACACACACACTTACAGGGTCCCACTTCTTCCAAGCTCCAGCGCTGGGGAACCAGACACATGGGAGGAACTGGATTGTCTGGCATGGTGGCAGGAACTCGGGGGCGGCTTCCTCCCAGACAGGGGTGCTCACAGTGGTCACTGTTCCTGTGCTGGGACCTCCCCTCTCACAGGGCTGACTGGCAGCCGTAACTGTTTGCTCTGCCTTGGGGATTCCCTGAGACCCCAACCCATCCAATTTTAGCCTCACCCAAGCTGTTTCCAGCTGCTTTTCCAAATGAATGGCCTGTCCTGACTTCAGACTTTGCTAAAATCTCCCAAACAAATCTCTCAAAGCTATCAACGAAAGGCCCAAGACCCAGCACTAGCACCAGCCCGCCTTGTTCCACAGCTGGCCTGGCCAGGCCTTGCCTGGGCACCTCTAAGCCCAATACAGATAGCAGATCTCTCTGTAGTTCCTGCTGGGTGGCCCCAGGCAGTGGCCCTGGAGCCAGTGCACCCAGTGGACAGCCTTAGACCACAGTATATTACAACTCTACACACCCACATGCGACACACCTGAGAGGCAGACTCAGTGAGCACCACAGCCCCACTAGCAAGTCCTGCTGCCATAGGGGTGTTCCCTGCACAGCAGCTCTCCACTGTAGCTGCAGCTGGTCCCACAGCCTGGCCTGGGGGTCAGCTCCTCCCAGTGACAGCAACAGCCATCAAGGCTCACGTACAAGACGGGGCGCACCTAGAGTGCCCCCCAGCTCAGGTGACTGGGGAGGCTGAGCCATAGGACCTACCACACAAGGGCACTCTACCAATTCTAGGAGACTGAGCAGCTCTACCTAATACATAGGAACACACACAGGAAGCAGTCACAAACTCGGGGGGGGGGGGGGGGGGGGGGGGGGCAGGGGGAAAGGAAGGAAGGAGGAAGAAAGAAAATACATTGTTCATATATTTTATCTATCAACAATCTAATCTAAAAATCAAAATGAACAATAAATCTAATGAACAAAACAAACTGGTGAATAGGATATAATCAGAGGCACAGCAGCATGGAATGGACTGATGAATCTAGAGGGAAGGGGGGTGGGTGTGGAAGAGATAACCAAAGATCTTACCTATAAACAGGACAGTAGGGTCGTGAAGGCCTGGGGTGGGGCAGGAACCAGGTGGAGGGGGGCAATTGGGGGGAAAAGGGGGAACATCTGTAATACTCTCAATAATAAAGATTTAAAAAGAAACAAGTGAATTGTAAATCAATGTTACTCTGTAGTTAATCTTGTAATCTAACAAGTATTGTAGATATACACAGGGTCAATTCATTTAAAACCATGTTTGCCACATACATTAGAAATCTGGCCAATTCATCTTATAAACTCAGTAATTCCTCATTTTTTTCCCCCCAAATATATTTTATCGACTCTCCACAGAGAGGAAGGGAGAGGGACAGAGAGCCAGAAACATCCACGAGAGAGAAACATCCATCAGCTGTCTCCTGCACACCCCCCAACTGGGGATGTGCCCGCAACCAAGGCACATGCCCCCGACCGGAACCGAACCCAGGACTCCCCAGTCCACAGGCCGACGCCCCAGCCACTGAGCCAAACTGGTCAGGGCTCATTTTTTTTTTTTTTTAATGTATATATGTTTTTATTGCTTTCAGAGAGAAAAGGAGAGGGAGAGATAGAAACATGATGAGAGAGAATCATTGAGATAATGCCTCCTGCATGTCCCCTATTAGGGATTGAGCCCACAACCCGGGCATGTGCCCTTGACCAGAATTGAACCTGGGACCCTTTGGTCCACAGGCCGATGCTCTATCCACTGAGCCAAACCGGCCAGGGCAGTAATTCCTCATTTAAAAATTATTTATTTTTTTAAGAGAGTGGGAGAGCCAAACCGGTTTGGCTCAGTGGATAGAGCGTCAGCCTGCGGACTGAAGGGTTCCGGGTTCGATTCCGGTCAAGGGCATGTACCTTGGTTTCGGTCGCATCCCCAGTGGGGGTGTGCAGGAGGCAGCTGATGGATCTTTCTCATCAATGTTTCTAGCTTTCTATCCCTTTCCCTTCCTCTGTAAAAAACCAATAAAATATATTAAAAAAAAAAAAAAAAAAAAGAGGGAGAGGGAGAGACACATCAACTGGTTGCCTCCTGCATGAGCTCTGACCAGGGCCCGGCTGGGGAGGAGCCTGCAACCAAGGTACCTGCCCTTGACCAGAATTGAACCCGGGACCCTTCAGTCCACAGGCTGACCCTCTATCCACTGAGCCACACCGGCTAGGGCTCCTCCCATTTTAGATGTGATAATTTAAGGAAACAAAGTGCATTAAACCCAGAAGCACCATTATCTTCCCAAACCCCATGTCTTAACCTTGTTCTCATTACAGTCCTAAGGAAAGAAAGCGGAGACACCCAGGCCAGGAAAAGTAATGTGATTTGCTTAACAAGAGAGAGACCCCCAGAGCCGACTGAGAATAGCTTCTTTTCACTAAAAGAAGGCACAGATATTGCAATTAAATATAGTTGTAGAGAGTCAGCTAAAGGAAATAGGTAAGAGAAAAAGAAGTTGATTCATATGGGAACAGAAAGACTTGGGAGAAGGATTGAAATTGCAGGGGGAAAAAATTTATCTTATTTTAAAGTCACAAGACAACTCACTTTTTAAATCCAAAGTTTTTCCAGAGCTCGTTGATCTTCGTCTGCAGTCCCGGCTTGTTCTCGGCGTTGTGATGTTTCCTCTTCTGGACTCTCGCTGGCCTCTTGCTCAGCCCACTGACTCTCGCAGGCACTAGCGCTTTGATCTTGGTTGTAGAGAGACTGTCCAGAGAACTAGATCTATACAGCCCAGGAACCTGAAGAATACATGCCTGTTTTAATACTCCTTTGTTAAAGCAGCTATCTTTAGTTAATTTAAAACTGTCCTTTATACTCCGGAACAGAAACATAACATAGGCAACATGTAAAAATGTGCTATTTATAAATATGTACTACAAAAAGTATAATTTTATCAGTTAATACACATAGCACCTGGCACTAAATTCAAGAATTAAGTGAGCCTCTCTCTGCCTTAGTCCTTCATTGCCTCTAGGCAATCGCTGTCTGAATCCATTGACAGTCGCTCCCCCCTTATTTGTGGGGATCTGTTTCAAGACCCCAGTGGATGCCTGCAGCTGTGGACAGTACCTGACTGTAAATGCTATGCTTTGTCCTACACACACACACATATGATGAAGTTTAACACCTTTCCCGTCTACACTAAGCCCGGACACAGCCTGCAGCTGTAACCTGCAGTTTGAGGTGCGACAGCAAAACTAGCACAAATCCCTTTTCCTTCTTCACCATTTCACAACAGAACATTCGTTGTTGTCGTAGATCTGAGCAGCCTGCACACAGTTTTCTTTTTAAGCCAAGAATGTTCACCTCTTCACTTTACAGCTTCTCTCTTAGCATATCTGAATTGTGATAGTAGCATCACTACTGTTGCGCTTTGGGGACATTACTAAGTAAAACAGGGGTGACTTGAACACAACCACTGAGCTCACAGGACAGTTGGTCTGAGAGCAGAGATGGCTACTAAGCAGCTAGTGGGTGGGTAGGTTACAGCGTGAATATACTGGACAGAGAATGAACCTCCCAGGCGGGATGGGGACATGAAATTTCATTGTGCTACGTAGAACATGGCATGCAACTTAAAACTTAAGAATTGTTCAATTCTGTAACTTTCCATTTAATATTTTCAGACCATAGTTGACCATGAGTAACCAAAACAGCAGAAAGCAAAATCGTGGATAAGGGAACTACTGTACGTACGTGTGTACACACACACACACACACACACACACACACGGCAGCATAATACACACTATTGTGTACTTTGTTTTTCTCACTTAATAAAGTATCTTGGAGATTTTCCCACTTCACACATAAAACTTACCTTTGTCTTGAATAGGTTGCCTGTTCCTCTGTGTAAATGTGCCATCATTTACTTAAACAGATCGCTATTGACAGGCTATTTACACCAAAGGGTTGATTTTTATTGGATGAAATACGGGGCCAGTGGAGTGTGGGTGTTTTTCAGGACAGCAACAGTGAGGCATATGAAACAAGTGCGGTAGAGAGAACGGATGAAGCCGGCAGACGGCATATAAAGAAATAGAAGACTCACAGGTGAAAGGGGAAATCCCGGCTGAGGGACGACGGAGAGAGCAAGACAGAGGACAGAGAAACATCCCAACTCGGACGGGACAAAGTTTGGTGGTTTCACTTCATCCCCTGCCGAAGACGGACTGAGCTGGCAGTTACAAAGAAAAAGGACAACTCTAAGAATTTGAAACTAAATGAGAAAAATAATAAAATTTTATGCTGAGAAGCACTGCTTAGCGATAAGTAAGATGCTGACAACGGGACAGAGAGGGGAGGGGGTCACTGGAGTTTTCACTGAACCAGGAGTGACCGTTTAAAAACCCCTGACAAAGGCGAATCTGACAGCAAGAACAACAAAAGGTGATGGGTTTAATGCCTGGACCTAACTCCTTTGGGGGAAAGTACTGTCTACATTTCTAGTCCTATCGGTTACTGCAAATAATTTTGGGTATTTGTTTTCCAGACTTTTTTACTATAATCATATAAACATGCACATGAATATTTTTAAATATTATAAAACAACAAAAACACCATGTTAATAACATGGTTTTTCCTTTTCACTCAAAATAAAATGGACATCTTTCTAAGGCAGGATATGATTGAAAAGCCTTTCTTATTCAACAATGTTAAGCCTTATATTTGCTACTTTACATTAGTGTTTTAATATATTTGGGATTATATTTTAGAGTATGAGATGGAAACCTTTCAGATGGATATGAAGACTGTTGAAATACTTAAACATGGAAAACAAAGAAACTCACCTTTATTCCTACCAGCTAAGACCTAAAACCAAAACTGTATTTAATAACTCGCCTTTTATCTCCAGTTTTCACCACTGTGACCAATACTCAAGTAAATGTTCTTGTAAAACTCCATTTCCTTAGGTTCAAGTTCTAGAATGCACTTACCAAGATAAATAATTTGAACTCCTTCAAACTGCTTTCCAGAAATGGTAGGGCAATTCAATCTCTTAAATATCTGATTCTATATCTCACTGTACTTTCATAAAAATGACGCATTTCTCAGAACATATCTGCGTTGTGAAAAGGAACGTGACTATGTAGTCATTACAAATAAATGCTAAATAAGCACATGGAACAAAGACCTTGATACTTTATACCACAAGGAAACATAGCAGGTTTCACAACTGAAACACCTGCAGTCAAGCACAGCGGTTCTCAACCTGTGGGTCGCGACCCCTTTGGTGGTCGAACGACCCTTTCACAGGGGTCGCCTAAGACCATCCTGCATATCAGATATTTACATGACGATTCATAACAGTAACAACATTACAGTTATGAAGTAGCAACGAAAATTTTATGGTTGGGTCACAACACGAGGAACTGTATTTAAAGGGCCAGAAGGTTGAGAACCACTGGTCAAGCACAAACACGATGCTAGAAGGTTTGTTTGAAAGTAGACATTTTTGTGTAAATAAAAATATAGGCATTTCAATTTTTAATCTTGACATGAAATGTTTCTCATGTTCTGGAAACAATCATGCGCTGCTTCTGACATGAAATAAATAAATAAACAAATAAATGTTTTACCTTGTTTCTTAGAAGCGTGTCTTTTTTTGAAAAGTGAGATACATGTAGCTTGGGTTTCTGATTACCTTGATTAGCAAGTGACTTAAAATTGCAATCAGATTCCTAGATCCCCCAGATCAAAAAATAAAATAAAATTAGATTTTTACTATGGAATTTATATATGACGACTAACCAAAATTCAACAAAACATAAAACGAAATGAGAAAATCAGTATAAATAAAATGTTTGTTTGTTTGTTTTTTTTTGGTGTGTGTTTTTTTCCCCTAGAAAAGCAAGTATAAGAAACTAGGGATAGAGTAAAGATAAATGGACCTAATGCGGAAAGAATGAGGTTAGCCAGCCAGTGTCAGTTCAAATGCAGTGAAGGAACGAGCAAGGTGCGTGAGCTGGAGAAAACACATTTGAAACGGAAGGCTTTTCTGCATCGTCCCAGAAGCCGGCCCAAATGCTCAAGTTCAGATAACTCAAAAGCCCCCTCCTACACAAGCCTGGCTCTCCGTTTCCTAAATTCCCAGCCACAAACGCTGAACCAGGATAGTTCTACACCTTTTAATGGTGTAACACAGTGGTTCCCAAACTTATTTGGCCTACCGCCCCTTTCCAGAAAAAATATTACTCAGCGCCCCCTGGAAATTAATTTTTTAAAAATTTTAATAGCAATTAAACAGAAAGATATATGTATTAATGTTTCTACCTTTTTCGTAAAATATAGTAAAGAAAGGTGTAAATTAGAAACATTGAAGTTTGAAATTATGAAACTATTGAACTCAGAATAGAAAGGTAATACAAAAAAAGTTAAAACAAATGCACCTGTGGCCATCACCGCCCCCCTGGATCACTGCAGCACCCACCAGGGGGCGGTAGCGCCCACTTTGGGAATCACTGGTGTAGTGTTCAACGTGAAAGAGAAAAGGCATCTGCTTTCAGGAAGTAGGATCGTGCTACATCGAATGCACAGTTAGCGTTAGCGATGACACTAAGGCCTGCCCGCTGCTCCCAACCCTTCAGGTGAGACTTTTCTACAGACAGAAAAATCTAGATCCCCACTAACGTCAAATAAAAAGGACAATGGGGAGAAATTTAGAAGGCTTTACATTTCTGCATTTTTCATGAGTTTTTTTTGTGTGTTTTTTTGATATTTATCTTGGGATCTACATAGTATTACTATATACTTAAAAAACAAAGTGAAAAATACTGCATTAATATGGACTGTAGCCCTAACCAATTTGGCTCAGTGGATGGAGTGTCGGCCTGTGGACTGAAGGGTCCCAGGTTCGATTCCAGTCAAGGGCATGTACCTTGGTTGCGGGCACATCCCCAGTAGGGGGTGTGCAGGAGGCAGCTGATCGGTGTTTCTCTCTCATCGATGTTTCTAGCTCTCCAACCCTCTCCCTTCCTCTCTGTAAAAAATCAATAAAATATATTTAAAAAAATATATGGACTATAACTTATAGAAACTCTAATATTCTCCTCTTAGAGCTAACAGGAGTGTGACCCTGGGCTATCAGTTTTTTACAGATCACGAGTAAGATCCCAAGATTACTTCACCTCAGACGGGGCCACTGGACTCACACACGCAGACCTGGTGGCTGCTGACCTCAGTGAACCACATGGAGTGAGTCTCCCTCCCATATTCGAATGAGGCCCCCATGCACTGTGGCTCTGAAACAGTTTCTGAATCAAACACTGATTACACAGTTCTCATTAACAATTCATTTATCCTAATAGGAATTTACTACATCTACACCCGAAGCAAAAGGTGACTTAAAGAATCACTTCTAGTTCAGCTGGTCTTTTTGCGGAGGGAAGAGGGTTCAGGTTTCTGTAATGAATTAGTACAACGAATGGTTAGCTCAGAAGACCGAGCGGGAGTTCTGTGGGCATGACTGGCCCACAGGCTGTGAGCTGGAACAAGGCTTCATAGTAAAACATGGCTAAGAGCTACAAAGTCAGTTACACAGACATCCGCTGGGAAAGGGCAAAAAAATCTCCCAGAGGAGCTCAGCAGAATTTAAAGTATCCTCACAAATAGATGGCGTTTTAAAAAAATATATTTGTATTGATTTCAGAGAGGAAGGGAGAGGGAGAGAAATAGAAACATCAATGATGAGAATTATGGATCAGCTGCCTTCTGCATGCCCCCTATTGGGGACTGAGCCCGCATCCTGACATGTGTCCTGACCGGGAATCTAACTGTGACCTCCGGTCAACACTAAGCAACACGAGCCGGCAATAGATGGTGTTTTGATGAAAGACATTCAAGAGCTAGCAAGTGTAGTCGTACCCCGTGGTGCCAAGGAAGATTGCAGTGTGAACTGAAAAATGAAAAAGATGACACTGAAATGGAGGCACAAGGTAAAGGAAACAGAGTCGTCCAGACCAGTCTGGGGGAACCAACGGCAAAGAGAAAAGAAGGAAAAGCCATAAAGGCAGCGCTCTCTCCAACTTAAACCACACGGAACAGACTGGGGATCCGAATGTACTAACTGGTTTCGGCTTCTCCAAGTCAAAACAACTTGTCTCCACATCTTAACTTAGTTCTTTGAGTCCAATACAACGTTTCCTTTAGGAACTTAAATAAAATATTTTCCTTTTGCTAAATATAAGCTATACTGATTGGTTAGATGCTGTCCAAAATTCAGGATTATCACACATCGAAATTCAGTCAAATACCACCGAGGCTATAATTGTTCTCACAACGTGGTAATTATAGTCAGTAGATATAAAATGAAGTATCTTACATTGCTATGCTGTTTGCGGTATCTCAAATTGAGATTTTGAAGTATGATGACATAGCTCAGATTTTTATATGTCATCATGTCATTTTAAAATATGCCAGTGGGTCTTATGAACACACTTATTTAGGGTTTTGATTTTATTAAAGTCAAATTAAAAGGTATTTTATAAATTAAAAAATGGCCAGGATGCTAACTTGTTTTGTTATAAAGGGGAAGTTTAGCAAGAATAAGAGTAAATGAAAAGGTATTTCTGAAGTACTAGAACTTAAGGTGAACACCATTACATTAATAGGGCCTTCTCCTTATAAGGTTTAAAATGTTCTCTGAATTCAAGAGTACATTAAGGAATAAATATTAAATTTATAACAACTTTTCATTTCATAGCTTATCATTCTGCTTAGGTCTTAATTAACTACTCCACAACTTGAGGCACCTATCAATGGAACACACAGTGATTAAAAAAACGTAGTTAGATTAAATGAATATGAGTTTAAAATAGCAAAGACATGGAGCACTTCAGTGGAATGAAATGTAAATTGTCTACACAGTAATACCTAGAGTGAAAAATTAAGACAGCCAATTATTCCCAGAATGTAGGCAGACTTTTCTCAATTGTAGGATAATCACCCCACTTTGTCTTACATATAGATTTGAAAACAGGTTTCGTGTGACTTACCTCTGGACTGCAGTCCTTCCTGGAAGGCTGAGGAAGTGTTGATGCACTTAAGCTGTGTGGGGACAATTCCGCATTCTCCTGAGACTGCGAGGACCAACTCAGTTCATGTACAGGATGCGCTTCATCACCCGACTCATCGCCCTTGACCTGAGACACATCGGACACTGTACTCCCAGGCAGAGAGCTGGGCGAGTCCCCCTTCCTCCGGAACTGGTGCAACGCTGTGCTCGGAGAGGGGCTCGGAGTTCTTGAAAAATCGCCAAGGCTTCCAGACCAGCTAAAACAGCTTCTCAGTGTCCCCAGAGTGGGTGGTGAAATGGTCTTTGTGAACCTGATGGTCTTAAAAGACGGAGACTCTTCATCAGCAATCACAGTTGCACCATCTGGAGTCTGAGCACTCGGAGTGTGTGCTCCATTCCTCTCAACCAGCTTCTCGCCCTCCAGGCAATCTGATTGATTTAGGTCAACCAGCTTCTTGTTTTCCAGACAATCTGGTTCATTGAGTTCACCCAGCATCTTGCTCTCTAGACAATCTGATTCCTTTAGATCAACAACTTTATCATCTAGACAATCTGATTCCTTTAGTTCAACCAGCTTCTTGCTCTCCAGACAATCTGATTCATTGAGATCAACCAGCTTCTTATCATCTAGACAATCTGATTCCTTTAGTTCAACCGGCTTCTCGCCCTCCAGACAATCTGATTCATTGAGATCAACCAGCTTCTTGCTCTCTAGACAATCTGATTCCTTTAGTTCAACCAGCTTCTTGCTCTCCAGACAATCTGATTCCTTTAGTTCAACCAGCATCTTGCTCTCTAGACAATCTGATTCATTTAGATCAACAACTTTATTATCTAGACAATCTGATTCCTTTAGTTCAACCAGCATCTTGCTCACCAGACAATCTGATTCATTGAGATCAATCAACATCTTGCTCTCTAGACAATCTGATTCATTGAGATCAACCACCTTCTTATCATCTAGACAATCTGATTCATTGAGATTGGTCTTTTTATCTGTGTCAGCAGTTTCATCTAGAGGTTGGGGGCTTGCTTTCTTTGATACACAGTCCATAGAATCCAGAGAATTGCAAAAAAACCTAATAGAAAAAACAACGGAAAGAATGCATAAGTATTTTAGTTTCCTCGCAAGATGTTAAGATTCAGAATATGACCCAGTTTCTTTTAAAAATGAAATCTCATAAATAATTTTATGCACGCTTCTATCACAGCACTTACCACATGGGATGAAAAGATTTTGTTTAGGGACCTATTTTTCCAACTATACTACAAGCTTCTCAAGAATAAAATCTACGTCTCTCACTTTTGTAGCCCACACCTACTATTGTATCAAGTTCTTAATTAATATTGGAGCTCTTATATTCATCAGTATTTAAATATACTTCTAATAATACTTTGCAAAATGTACTTAGTTTTTAAAGAAACTAAGAAAGTAGAAACAGCTGGGACCGGTTTGGCTCAGTGGATAGAGTGTCGGCCTGCGGACTGAAGGGTCCCAGGTTCGATTCTGGTCAAGGGCATGTGTACCTTGGTTGCGGGCACATCCCCAGTGGGGGGTGTGCAGGAGGCAGCTGATCGATGTTTCTCTCTCATCAATGTTTCTGACTCTCTGTCTCTCTCCCTTCCTCTCTGTGAAAAATCAATAAAATATATTTTTTTAAAAAAAGAAAGTAGAAACAAAGATGTAGGGACTGCCTCCAAAAAGAGTTTTTCTAATACAAAAAGTAGCAGAAGTTCAAGGGGAAAGCTGTGCATTCAGGTCTGAACTCAGGCAATAAAAACTGTCATTGGATTAAGTCAGGTCCCACACCTCCCCCAACTAGACTCGACGTTTACCTGAGACCATTAAAGCACATGGCAACGCAGTAGATAACACAACAGACAAACAGCATCCTAGAGATGGAACCGTACCTGCTTCTGGTCCCAGGAACCACAACTGCACCACTTTCTTGATTTTTTCTCTGCAAAAATGCTACAAATTTATTTCTTGTCGTAGGTGGTGTGCTTAAGGTTTTTTTAATAGTAGTTCCATCCACCAGGTCAGGCATCAGCATTTTGGAAGAGTTCAATGATGTACTACCTTCACAGCCATCTTTCTTGGTCTTCTTTGTAAATGAAAGAGAATATTGACTCAACAGATCATCTTCTGACAGCTCCTCTAAATAAAAACAAAGTGACCATGAATAAATGTTTGTCCACATGCAGTTACAGATTTGGCTTTAGCTTCACAGTCCATGTCCCTCTGTCGTAAGGATAAAGTCTTTTTTTTTTTTTTAAACTAAGCACCAGAAAAGAAAATCCAAGGATAACTTCATTTTTTTTTTCTTGGCTGTGTTTTACAATTTCACAAGTTAGTATGCTTTTTAAAAAATATATATTTTATTGAGGAAGGGAGAGAGGTAGAGAGTTAGAAACATCAATGAGAGAGAAACATTGATCAGCTGCCTCCTGTACACTCCCCACTGGGGATGTGCCTGCAATCAAGGTACATGCCCTTGACCGGAATCGAACCTGGGACCCTTGATTCCGCAGGTCGATACTCTATCCACTGAGCCAAACCGGTTAGGGCACAAGTTAGTATGCTTTAATGTCAATTATTTGTACAATTTTATGTGAAAGTACCCAAACCAAAATTTCAGGACACAATCAATTTTGTAAGGGTATATACTCATTATACTAAGGGCTTAATTTTGAATGTAAAAAATAAAAAACCAATTTTAAGGGGATTTACATGTAGATACGTAATTAATTTAATGTTTGATTTAAAAAATGTCCCAGTAAAACCATATCTATGTGATATGGTGATTGTCAGGAGTCAGAAGTAATTTGCTAAGGAGCCCTAATCGGCTGCACGGCAAATGTATCCTGTGGTATTAGAATAGATCAAAGACAAAGTAATACAAAGGCTGCAGCCCGAGATAGGCTGAGACATAGCGATAGCAGTAAGTGTCTTAAATTAGTTCAATGAATTCTCGGTCTGAACAGCTTCCACTCTCATAGGACTGAATGCCCATTACTCGAAAAAGTCAGTAAAATAGTTGAGGCCCCCAAAATACCAGAGACAAGAAGATGATACCTCCAATCCAATTTTAAAGGTACAGATTTTTAAAAAGCTATAGATCAGTGATTTTCACTCCTGGCATGAGCCTAAATTTGTTTATTATGAAGGGAATTATGAGCCCTTACAGAAAACAAATATTGTAGGAGCCCCAACAAGGCTTCCTTAAGAAGCCACGCCAGACTAACCTCGTTTTCTTTTGGAATAAGCTTTAGACGAGCTACTCGGGCAATCCCACAGATTTAGCATATCCTGAGGAGGACACTCAGCGTCTCTCCCATTATCCCAGTAGACAGCAGCCAGAATCTACTGTGTATTATTACGTGGGGTTAGCAGCAGGCTGGTCATCAGTCTGAAAGGAGGGTGTGTCTATAGTGCTTTAGATTTCTGCACTGTCTCTGATGCAGGTGAACATTACATAAGCAAACACATTTTAACCAAAACTTTAAGACACAGGAAGCCATACCTCTCAAATTTCTAGCCGACAAAGATAATACCCATATATTAGATAATACAGAGATTCAAAAAAGAAAAACGAAAAAAAAGACTAGTGGGCAGAACAATGGATTAAAATGAATTCAGAACACCTCAATAAGAATAATTTCACCTGCAGTTAAGTGTAAATGTGTAACTGTACCTGGTTTAATAGGAACTGGTGGATTTTGATGATAAACTCAGTAAATGCCAGCAAAATGACAATGCAAATAAAAGCTAACACTATCTTTATGTGCAAAAACAAAATCCCCGTCTGGATCAAGGACTGAAACAGTGCCACAACTCTAAACCTCTACTGTGCTATGGTAAGCGGACCACATGCTAACAACCACTCACTGAGACAGTTACACAATGACGCTCATCCGGGAACAGATGCGGAACGTTCAGTTTGGGAAGAAATTCAGGAGGGACACAGAGCTGTCTCTAACTATATGAAGGGCTGTCACAGGAAAGAGGGATTCGACTTACTCTATTTTGTTTTATTTTTGGGTCTGTGTGTATGCCCAGAGGGCAAGATCCGTTGATGAGATGTAGTTTAACAAAGCAGACTTAGTCTGACATAAAGAGCCTACTAATAATGAGCCCTACACAAAAAGGATCCTCTATGTTGTGGGTGGCAGGACAGGAAGGAACAAACACGTGTAGTTACTTGCTTATGTACCAGAGGCTTTTATACATTATCTTACATAACAAACACAAAAGTTTGTGAAATGGTCAATTTCATTCCCATAATAGAAGAGGAAACAAAGGTTGAGAGATATTATTATGAAAAATATTTAGGTTCATAAGGAATTAGGACATTCTGACCAAACATGTATAATCTATATCTAAATTTAAAAATTAGCCCTTGCTGGTTTGGCTCAGTGGATAGAGTGTCGGCCTGAAGACTGAAGGGTCCTGGGTTCAATTCCAGTCAAGGGCACATGCCCGGGTTGCAGGCTCAATTCCCAGTAGGGGGAGTGCAGGAGGTGGCTGATCAATGATTCTCTCTCATCATGGATGTTTTTCTCTCTCTCTCTCTGCCTCTCCCTTCCTCTCTGAAATCAATAAAAATATATTTTAAAAAATAAAAAGTAAAAGCATGAATTGTAAGTTTGCAAAGGTGTTTGCTTTGTTTTTGTGGTTAGTCTTTATTCACTCATGTAGATGCTTGAGGGAAAGAAGAAATAGATTATAGTTATTCTTTCTACTTCTTAACATGTTCTATGATGAAAAACAAAGAACAAAAACTTTTCCCAATACCTAGTTTTCCATTCTCAGCATTTCTGTTCAATATTGTACTGGGGGTTCCAGCAGGCAAGAAAAAGAAAAAAAAGGCATCCAGACTGGAAAAGAAGAAGTCTTTACTTATAGGTAATATGATTATTTATATGGAAAATCTTAGAGTCTACCAAAGTGAATTCAGCAAGGTTGCAAATTACACAAACCAATTATCTTTCTATATACTAGAATGACCAACTAGAAATCGAAATTAAAATATCATTTACAGCCCTGACCGGTTTGGCTCAGTGGATAGGGCGTCGGCCTGCAGACTCAAGGGTCCCAGGTTCGATTCCGGTCAAGGGCATGTACCTTGGTTGCAGGCACATCCCCAGTTGGGGATGTGCAGGAGGCAGCTGATCGGTGTTTCTCTCTCATCGATGTTTCTAGCTCTCTATTCCTCTCCCTTCCTCTCTGTGGAAAATCAATAAAATATATTTTAAAAAAATCATTTACAATAGCATAACAAATCTGAAATATGGGGATCAATTTTATAATGGATGTACAAACCCTGGGTAGTGAAAACTATAAAGCACTGCTGAAGACTTAATTTAAATAAATGGATCAGAAAATTCAATATTCAGATGTCAATTCTCCCCAAATTGAACTATAGGTGAAACTAATTCCCAATCAACATCACAGCAAGCTTTTTAAAAAACAACAACAGTCCTAGCTGGTTTGGCTCAGTGGATAGAGCATCAGCCTGCGGACTGAAGGGTTCCGGGTTCGATTCCAGTCAAGGGCACATGCCAGGGTTGCAGGCTTGATCCCCAGTAGGGGGCTTGCATGAGGCAGCCAATCAATGATTCTTTCTCATCATTGATGTTTCCATCTCTCTCTCCTTCTCCCTTCCTCTCTGAAATCAATTAAAAATAAAATAAAATAAACCAAAAAACAACAACAAACTGACAGTCGATTCTAAGATTTAAATGAAAATGTGCAAAACAAAGAGTTAGCCAAAACAACTTTTCAAAAGACGAACTAAGGGACTATACTACTTGATTTTGAAACTGACTGTAAAGTTACAGTGATCAAGACAGTGTGTCCGGCATAAAGATAGGGAGAGAGAGCAATGCTTCATACTAACACTTCAGAGAGACTCACACACATGCCAACTGATTGCCACCAACTGTGCCAGGCAATTCAGTAGGGAAGGATCACCTTTTTAACAAATGGCCCTGGGATGACTGAACTGACAAAATGCAGCCTTGATCCTTACCTCATATCACATAAGAAAATCAATTAACAATGGATCATAGGCCTGAATATGACTTAAAACTATAAAACTCCTAAAAGAAACAGGAGAAATCTTAGTGACCCTGGGTTTAGCAAAGATAGATTTCTTAAACATGACCAGTACTAACTAGCATTTCACAAAAACGAAATACATACCGCTTCTTGGCCGTTTCACAGTGGACAGCTTCCTTGGCAGGTTGAGCCCTTTGGTGCTGATCACCTGTTCCCTGCCCGCAGTGCTTGGGTTCTCCTTCAGTCTTGTAGCACCTGGAACAGGGGCCAGCTCAGGTCTAGGGCAGTAGTTCCTATGCCAAATGCTATGAACACTAGACGGCTTTTGAGATGTACTGTCATCCCAACTACGACTTCTCGACAGGGCAGGCTAAAAAAGTAAAAGCAAAAAGGTTTCTTGAAAAAAATAGTCAATTATTTCCCTCTGTAGCAACACAAATTATAAGCAAATAATAATCCTTAAAAAGAACAGCTTTTTAATGAATTATCTGTTCTCTAATGACATGTCCTACACTTTCTGTTACATGTACCTTGTATTCTTAAGTTTGTTCCTCTTCTAACGAGAGGCAAGTGACCGTATTAGCTCATCCTAAGAAAAAATAGCCCTAGCTGGTTTGGGTCAGCGGGTAGAGCATTGGTCTGTGGACTGAAGGGTCCCGGGTTCGATTCAAAGGGACCTCTGTGGATGAGATGAAGAAACAGCTCCTTCGGTCTACACTGAGACTTACATAACACTTTCTCTGAGAAAGGGCTTATTGCAGTCAGGACTGGTGTATTTACCACCGTTATTTGAGTGAATGTCAGTTACAGGATCTCTCATCCTCAGACCAGAACACTTGGGAACAAGCTGGCCTGCCTTCACTGCCAAGTCCTTTTGCCTCTTTTAGCTGTCTTGCTGGTTAATAAGTGTCTTCTTTCTCGTAGTTTCCAGTCCCAATCCAGGCCTTCCACCCTTGCTCATTCTCATTTAATAATTCAGTCCTTTACTAAGCATTTATTAAGCACATAAAACATGGTTAGGCTAGCTGATGTTCTGGAGTACAAAGAAAACAAAATATAATCCTTCCTTGTAAGGACTTAGCAATGAAAGCTCATAAAACCCTGCCTTTATGAAGATTACACTATTTTGAGAAGAATCAGAAAATAAACCAAATAAATTACATAGCAGTAAGTGGTAAAAAGAAAAAAAAAAAAGAGAAATGTTATTAGATGAAGATGAAGAGTTTGTTTTTGTGGATAGATTTCAGGTTACAGAAAGTCATTTAAGTAGAGATTATGTGGCTGGTACACACACTAGAGATTGGGTTAGAATAAATATGAATGAAAAGAGAACAGAGTCTGAATGAAAATATGAACAGAAAAGAGAGAACGGTGGGAGTGGACCATAAGGGATAGATAGAATTGGGGAAAAGCAGAAGAAAACAGGAAAAGGCTACAGAACACAGCAGGGGTGTTCATTAAACATTTGCTAAATTGTGAATCAGTGGAAACCAAGTTGTACTTGCAAGGGTAGTGTTTCTAGATTTGGGTCTTCAACAACATGACAGGGTGAACAGGGTCAGAGGAGAAAAAAGGCATCAAATGCTTGGTATATTCAAATGGAATGTTCAATTCTAAAGGTTTTTAATGTAAGGAAATTACCCGATATGCCTATGTTCTAAGAGACATAATTTCTTTAGCACCAAGCTGTTTCTGATCTATACTCTGCACAGTGCCTGGCTATAAAAATGCTTAAAAGATGTTCACTAAACGGAGATCTGCCTTCAGTCACAGTTCTGAGACATAACTGAATGTGCATTTAGAAAGAAGCCATTAGGTTACCGTAGCAGTGTCTGGACTGTAGTCATCAATCTGTTCAAAAGTATTTATATCTTTATTTCCAAGTGCTATTTGAAGAGCTATCGAATCATCAATATACCTAGGTTGGTAAGATTAAGGAAAAATGTTTTTATTAACAATGGAACAAAACCCACTATATTAAGAAAGAAAAGTGGGCCTGGCCAGCGTGGCCCAGTGGATGAGCGTCGACCTATGAACTAGGAGGTCACGGCATATGCCTGGGTTGTGGGTTTGATTCTCAGTGGGGGGTGTGCAGGAGGCAGCCAATCAATGATTCTCTCTCTCTCTCATCATTGATATTTCTCTATTTCTCCCCCTTCCTTTCTAAAATCAATAAAAATATAAGTAGAAAAATCAAGAAAGAAAGAGAAAGAAAAAGAAAGAGAGAAAGAAAGAAAGAGAAAGAAAAAGAAAGAAAGAGAGAGAAAGAGAAGAGAGAGAAAGAAGAGAAAGAGAAGAGAGAGAGAAGAGAGAGAAAGAGAAGAAAGAGAAGAGAGAGAAGAAAGAGAAGGAAGGAAGGGAGGGAGGGAGGGAGGGAGGGAGGGAGGGAGGGAGGAAGGGAGGGAGGAAGGAAGGAAGGAAGGAAGGAAGAAAGATAGATCAGGTTTATAACGTCAGTGGGATGCTGACTTCCACACTCAGCACTCCCGAACCACAAGCACATTGATGCATCTCTACTTGTCACTGCAGGAGCTGGCTGTGTCCTGCAGCAAAGCCCCGAGGCATTGCTTACTCCCTCTTGAGAAGATGGGGAGGAGCCCTGGCTGCCAGCTGAGTGGCTCAGGCTCAGCAGTGCCCAGTGAGTGGCCAGTGGCTGTGGGAAGAGCACCCTCATCGGGGGTCCTCGCACACCCACAACGCCTCTCCTAATACATCCAGCTTGCTGGCCACAAGTGTTTCTCTTAAGTGTCACCTTGTTTTTGTTGTTTTTTAAAGATCCATTTGGCTTCATTGGCGGATTCACAGATCAGGCAGCATTCCTAATGCTGCAGAAAGGAGTTGTGTCACCTCTGGAATATGTTCCTATCAAGTCAAACTAAGTAATTAACAAGCTATAGCGAATGAGCCTCAGATTTACAAACAAGAAGTCGCTCGAAATTTTCACCAGCATGCTAATTAAAATGAACAAAACACATTTCATTATAGAAAATAAAGCAAGAAACAGTCTGTAAGCTTTTCACTGAATGTCTCGCTAGAAATGCCACTAGGGACACACGGAGGGACTGAACAATCCTACCACGTGGTTCAGAAAGGATACCGCCCGGCATAGCTCAGCGCTGCGGGGTCGATGTCATCCCCGTAGTCATTCAGAGGGACGAGCTTCCTTCTGATGGGATCGAACACGAGCTGGTAGAGGAAGGTGTTGTTGGCCCGAATAAAGCCTTTGATGTAGTCCTCTGGCACTGTTATGTTCATCTTGAGGTAATGTCCAAGTTTCTTGATAACCTAACAATGATGCAAAAATATTTACGCGTTATCTGCAAGAATACAGAACGTATCAGCCCCAAGACCCATCTGCTTACATGAGAGGATGAGGAGAAATAGAAAAACCAGTTGTTTTTATCTACATTAAAAACCTCTACCAACAAACACAACCATGTCAGATCACTTAAAACTCTGTGTTTCTATAACAGTATTTTCTTTGCATTTTCTACTATTAATCCAAATAATGAGAAATTCAGTTACACATCAAGTTTTCATCCCTAAGTACATATTCTTCACAAAGTCCCTTTTATTCAGAAGGCAAAAAACGAAAACATACACCACTTGAGAATTAAAAACCCCCAAGTATTCTTAGATGACATTTTGAAAGAGAAATTGGCATTCTAACCCCTACTAACAGTCATGAATGATTAAACCTTGATGTGTTTTTTTTTTTTAATATATTTTATTGATTTTTTACAGAGAAGAAGGGAGAGGGATAGAGTTAGAAACATCGATGAGAGAGAAACATCAATTAGCTGCCTCCTGCACACCCCCTACTGGGGATGCGCCCACAACCACAATACATGCCCTTGACCGGAATCGAACCTGAGACCCTTCAGTCCGCAGGCCGACGCTCTATCCACTGAGCCAAACCAGTTAGGGCTTGATGTGGTTTTAAATATTTTCTATCAAACTCACAGATGGAGAAGGGAAAACCCAGAGAACTGAAGGGATCCACGAGGCCAGGGCCTGACCCTCCATTCCCAGCTCTCCCACCATCTCCCACCCCAGACACCACGAGGCTGTACCAGCCTCAGCCCTGAGGACGCACGCCGACCCCTGGAAATAAAAGGGGACTCTGCTCTGCAACCCTAGGGCTTTGGAGAACTACCCAGCGGGGGGAAGTGGGCTTCTTTAATGTACGCTGCTTTTTTCAAGGCCAAGCCAGCAGAGGAATCCCAGAGCAGTGATGCGAGCAGAGATGTGATGTGAGGATTACAGGCAGGGTTTCCCAGAGGCTCCCTGACACCTGGGATAGCACATCAGATCTCGGGAGGAAGAGATGAGAACCCGCTGCCTCCCATTCAGCCACATCACAGAGATTTACGTACATAAATGTGCAATTCTTCTCATCATTTTCATTTGTTTTACAAGACATGGCTACTTTTCATAAAAATGTACCAGCTATGTTAATATGTAATGAACTTATTATTAATTTTAAGTGAAGTAATAAATAATTTTAACTTTTGTTTTAATTTCTGATTTGGTAAATGTCAGTAGCTATAACCTATATAACCAAACTACCACCACAAAAAGCTGTTAGGAGTATAAAGGGGCCCAAGCCAGTTTGGCTCAGTAGATAAGAGTGTCAGCCTAGTGACTGAAGGGTCTCAGGTTCGATTCCGGTCAAGGGCACATGCTCAGGTTGTGGGCTTGATCCTCAGTGGGGCCAGGCAGGAAGGCAGCCAATCAATGATTCTCTCTCATCATAGATGTTTCTGTCTCTTTCTCCCTCTCCCTTCCTCTCTAATATATATATATATATATATTTTAAAAAAAGAAGAGTATAAAGGGATCCTGAGACCTAAAGATTGAGAACCACTACTATTGAGTAATAGGACAGAGATAAAAAGATGGTACGTTTTGCCCTAGCTGATCTGGCTTAGTGGATAGAGCGTCAGCCTGTGGACTGAAGGGTCTCTGGGTTTGATTCCGGTCAAGGGCACAAGCCTGGGTTGCAGGCTTGATCCCCAGTGTGGGGGGCGTGCAGGAGGCAGCCAATCAATTATTCTCTCTCATCATTGATGTTTCTATCTCTCTCTCCCTTCCTCTCTGAAATCAATAAAAATATATTTTAAAAAATTTTTTACAAAAGATGGTACGTTTTAACATTATTCCTACCCTAGAATATTTTAAATAGCCCTTAAGTCTCTTTATATTACTCATTTTAAAAACTACTAGTTTGTAATTGCTGAAAACATGGTTCATTATAGTTGCCAAAAGCAAAGTTCTAGTGTCTTAGTCATTTTATTTCAGTGACACATTATTGGCTATTAACGTAGTGTAATATTTAAAATCCATATTCTTAGTGTTTTATCTATTATTTAAGAAACGCTTCAGAAGTCGAGTATGACCCTTGGTGAGTCCTCTTACCTTTACGATGTCGGGGTTATTGGCTAGCCTCAGCACTTTGCAGGCCTTTGCTAACCCAATCCCGCGCAGTGAGGAGAGATAGTCACAGCCTGAAAGAATGCACATGTACCGAAACTTCTCCTCTGTGAACACATCCCCGAGCTGTCTGCACATGCCCAGCCGAGCCTGGTCAATTTCCAGTCCATTTCCAAACTGGTCCATTTTTAAAATCACCTTTAAGAGGAAAGGAAATTGTTAATACGTATAAGGGCCATTTTTTATTATTCAATTCACTGCAATATTTCTAAGAAATCTTTCTTGTTCTTCATCAGGGCAACGAGAGAGCCGAGACAGGTCGGCCAGGTAACTACTGTCAAATCTGTAGACAAATCAAGGGGAAGCAGGGGCTCTGACTCTGACCCAAGGAATACCCTTTCTACACCTTTACTTCCTACCGACATTACAGGTTGTCATGGTGATCAAATAGCAATTCATACAGAAAGCACTCCCCCCTTACCTGCCATTGTTACTTTTTAAAAAGTAAACTGTTTTCTTATTTTTAAAGTAAGACATGTTCACTATAGAAAACTTGGAAAACAGAAATTCCGAAGGAATAAAATAGAAGTTGCCCTAAATCTCTCATCTATCGCTGTTACCCAGCGTAATCCTTTTGACATAGATCCTTCTAGTCATCTATGTATAGATAAGAATAACAAAAATGAGATCATCCTATATTTCTGTATCTTAACTTTCCTACTTAATATATCATAAAAATTTCCATTAAACAGTTTATACACAAACCCATTATAAAAAAATTTACCTAATCTAATTGAAAAATATAAAGCAAATAATTATTCAAAAATAAGACTAAGTCTATATTCTACTAAAAAATTTGTACAAAACAAAATGCTCTAACCCTAAGTTTACTCTGAAAAAGCACCCAGATTATACAAATATCAAGCAGCAAAACCCGTCTTTTCATTTTAAATAATATAACTATGAACACTGTAAGTAATTTCAGGTATTAAATGAAATATTACTGCAGAGGAGAAACTTTAATTCCTTGGTTCACACTATTTTAGCACCTTTTTACAGCCGAAAGCGAGGAGATCTGAGTCCTCCGTGACGATGGCCTGTACGATACCAGATTTGTTCAGATAGGCCAGCTGTGCGTCTGCTTCGTACGGCGCCACCAGACAGTCGACCCCCTGAGCCCGAGCAGCCTGTGGGAGAGGAGCAGTCAATGTGCAGAACAGCGTCTGGAAAGAACTGAACAACTCCCTGTTTCAAATCCATTTTATCACCAGCTTCACCGTGCACGTGCTGATACTATTTTCAAAAACCATATCCTTGCTGGAGCCGGTTTGGCTCAGTGGATAGAGTGTGGGCCTGCAGACTGAAGGGTCCCAGGTTCAATTCCGGTCAAGGGCACATGCCCGGGTCACAAACTCAACCCGCAGTAGGGGGCGTGCAGGCAGCAGCCAATCAGTGATTCTCTCTCATCTTTGATGTTTCTGTCTCTCTCCCTCTCCCTTCCTCTCTGAAATCAATAAAAATATCTATAATGAAAGCATAATTAGACCAGATGTCCTTCTGGACGTCCTTCCGGATGAAGCTGGGGCTGCGAGGGAAGCCCGGGCCCTGGGTGCCAGAGGGAAGCCAGTGCTGGCAGCCGGGGGAAGAAAGGCCTACCCTTGCACGAATTTCATCGAGCCTCGAGTATACATATAAAAATCATATCCTTTCAAGTATGCTTTTTCTGCTTTTAGTCCTAGTATATAATGAACTGATCAGATAGCCACTGAGTCTTTTTTTTAAATCAACTTGTAAATTTGGAGAAAAGAAACACTGCTTTACACGGGGAGGGGGCCAGTAACTGTAAGTCACAAAAGACAAGTTTCCATCTGAAGAATGGCTATGCTCCATCTGCAGACTGAAGGGTCTGGGTTCGATTCCCCTCAAGGGCACATGCCCAGGTTGCAGGCTCGATCCCCAGTAGGGGACGTGCAGGAGGCAGCAGATCCATGATTCTCTCTCATCATTGATGTTTCTCTCTCTCTCTCCTTCTTCCTCTCTGAAATCAATAAAAATATCTTAAAAAAGAGTGGCTATGCTCCGAAAGTATCTGACATGTTTAGAGCTCTGAATCTATTTTCCCCATGAAAACAACAGGCTCTCTTGTCAGACAAGAGTCTATCTGACATTGAATCTAATCACCATAGTTATAATCCCAGTTGTTTTCGAGCAGTTTGAACACAGGCCTGAAAAGGGGGAGGGAGGGCTGGGGCTGTGGGCACGTGGACACTAATATTTGGTGATAAAAGACCCGTCTAAGCAGAGCAGATGAGGTAGCCTGGAAGTCTGCAGAGTTCCCGAGTCAGCGAGGCTGGTTCAGGGTCTCGGACAGGCGTCCAGGAGCGAAGGGTCAGTAAGTGTTGAAGACTCGATGCCAGTGGGGGTGGGCCTGAGCCCCCAGCAGTGCACCCTTCCATCTCCGGGACATGCTGATGGAGGTCATCTAGGGTCTTATTTAAAAAGGGAGAGCTCAGCTCATTCCTCGGGCTTTCTCCCTTGGAAATGCTGAATTCTATCTAAGCATTCTGTTCCCTTCTTGCTGACATTAGCCCTCTCCAGGAGGTCAGGCCTACAATAATTCCCCTCCCTTCATTTCCTTGCTCTCCCATCAATAAACAACTTACAACCAGCTCCCATGAACGTCACTATTTGTTACTTAGGCATCATTTCTTTTTTTAATCCTCACCCGAGGATATTTTTCCATTGGTTTTTAGGGAGAGCAGAAGAGAGAGGGAAAGACAGAGAGAAACATCGATGTGAGAGAAACACATCGATTGGTTGCCTCCTGCACGAGCTCCGACCAGGGCCCGGGCTGGGGAGGAGCCTGCAACCGAGGTATGTGCCCTCGGAAGGAATCAAACCCGGGATCCTTCGGTCCGCAGGCCCTCTCCACTGAGCCACACCGGCGAGGGCGCGTTATTCCTTGTTGGCTTACTTTAATGACGTTGTGGGCCATCGCATGTGTGATGTTGACGCAGCGGGTGAAGCATTCTCTGGCCTCCGAGACCTTCCCCTCGCGAAGAAGCTGCTTGCCCTTAAGGAGGTTGGCTTGTCGTCGTCTGCAAGGAGCAAGAAAACCCAGAGCTGGATCAAGAAACTATGATACAACTCGAATGCGAGGCATTTCCCTTGAATAGAAAAAAGCCTGGCTCATTTGAAAGTGCGCCCCTGGTCCCTGAGAGCATTAGCCCCCAGGCCCTGGGCTCCTAAGCAAAAGAACAAGCACCTTCTAGGGCGCACTCACAGCCAGCTCAGCGGGCTCTGCCACAGCAACGCCTCTGTCAGAAGAAGGTGAACCAAGACGCTTAAGAAAACGCGAGTCAAGGCTTTCACACCATCAAACCCACTTCCACGTGTAAAGGGTGGAACTGTACCAGCGCACAAGGAACTGGAGGAACGCTGCTTCTGTGAGCTTCTCTGTGAAATCTCTTAGAGAACAAACTTCAGAAAAGCCAAAATAACATGATGGGAGGCAGGGACATAAGGGCTGGTGATGACCATAGTAAACGGTAGAATCAAAACTCAGTAAGGAGTAAGCAGAGAGCCACAGCGACATGCTCTGACAGAGGAGTGGTCTACACTGGAGAGAGTGTGTGGGAAAGAAACATAAACTTTAACTGCTTTCAATAATCACACTGGTGGTGGGAGTATTGGTCCTGTTGAGTATATTCCCCGTTTTTACCATAGTTTGTTACCCAGAGTCAAGTGAAGACTGGAAATATTAAATGGAAAATTCCAGAAATAAACAAAAGTAGTAAGTTTTAAATTGTGTGCCATTCTCAGCAGCAGGATGAAATCTTGTGCCATATCAACTTCACTCCATCTCATCCCATAGGCATTGTATCATCCACATCACAAGAAGGGTGAGGCCCTGGCCGGTGTGGCTCAGAGGACAGAGCGTCGGCCTGTGAACTGAAGGGTCCCGGGTTCAATTTCAGTCCAGGGCACATGCCTGGGTTGCTGGCTTGGTCCCCAGTGGGGGGCATGCAGGAGGCAGCTGGTCCATGATTTCCTCTCTCAACATTGATGTTTCTATCTCTCTCTCCCTCTCCCTTCATCTCCGAAATCAATATATATTAAAAAAGGAACAAGGGTGAGTAGAATATAAGGTATTTTGAGGGAGAAGATAGATCACATTTACATAACTTTTATTATAGGTTATTATGCTTGTTGTATTTTATTAAGTTATTATTGTTAATCATTTCTTGTGTCTAATTTACAAGTTAAACTTTGTCTTATGTCTGTGTGTACAGGAAAACACAGTATAATAGGGCTTGGTTCTATCGGGGTCCCAGGCATCCACTGGGGGTCTTGGCATGTGTACCCACTGAATAGGGGGGACGACTGTAATTATAAGATGCTCTAACTTTATCATCCCTTGTACCCTTACAACAAGGATTCTCAGTATGGAAGGGAGGAGATGCCGATGAAGCACAGAAGTTCAGTAAAAGCCTGTACCCTGAATTTGAATGGAAGTATCAGTCTGAACTAGTGAGGTTTTTTCATCAAGTAAATGCACACATACACATACCTGCCCCGGGTTGTGGGCTGGGTCCCCAGTAGTGGGTGTGCAGGAGGCAGCCTACTGATGCTTCGCTCTCACAGCAATGTCTCTCTCTCTCAAAATCAGTAAAACAATTTTACAAAATGGATAGATGGAAGGAGGCTTGACTTGGGGTGAATACACAACACAATATACAGGCGATGTATTATAGAACGGTACCCCTGAAACCCAAATAATTGTGTTAACCAATGTCACCCCAATAAATTCAATTTTTAAAAATGGACACAACTAATAATTAAGAAATTCACCATCACAGTGAAATTTTAACATTCTTTTCTCAGAAACTGATGGATTAAGAAGACACACATAACAAACAAAAGAACCAATAAAGATATGGAAGATTTGAATCCTACAATCATAAGCCCGATTTACACTCAATAATTAGAGCACGCACAATCCTTTCCAGCACACAGAAGACTTAAGGAAATGTGTTCATGTCCTACGCCCGTGGTCGGCAAACTTCGGCTCGAGAGCCACATGCGGCTCTTTGGCCCCTTGAGTGTGGCTCTTCCTAAGCCTTAGGAGCACCCTAATTAAGTTAATAACAGTGTACCTACCTATATAGTTTAAGTTTAAAAACTGTGGCTCTCAAAAGAAATTTCAGTCGTCGTACTGTTGATATTTGGCTCTGTTGACTAATGAGTTTGCCGACCACTGTGACCTAGGCCATAAAAACAGCCTCAATAAATTAAACATGTAACAGAAAGCTGGCATTGGGTGCGGCGGCGGCCTCAGCTGCCTGTGCTGGGTGGAATCTGAGCCCACAGGTGAGGTGACTTGTCTAAGGTCACACGGGGTGAGGGAGCCGAGAGGCTGCGGTGCCTTCAGCCACCGTGGAGGCCGAGATTCCCAGGGAGCCGGGCGGCCAGGCCTTACCAGCTTCCTGGAGGCTCACAGGCTCACCTGCCTTCTTAGGGGCCAGGCCGCCTCCCCCGCTGGGACCGCTGCACGGGTACCCCCGGATCCGGTCTGGGAAGGCCGAGGAGGGTTCGGAAGGACCGAGGGAGGAGGGCTCCCAAGCAGGTGCCCACGGCACCAGGCACCCTCAGTCCTCCCTGCCCGGCAGGGGCACCTCCAAGGCCCCGTACCAGCCCCCCCGCATCTGAGCCGCAGCCCCCCTACAAACTGCTGCGCGAGCGGCTGCCCCGGCTGCCCCAACTGCGTGTGGGTGGACATGCAGACGGGCTCCTGCCGCTCTACCGGGCCGGCGGGGGTGGGAGCGGCTCTACCCGGCCGCCCCGCAGGAGCACAGCGGACAGAACCTCAGGCCTCCCTGGGATGGAGATCCAGCTCCATCCCGCAGGAGGAGCAGAGGCCGAGCGGGCCTGGCCGACAGCTGACAGCTGACCCCGCGGGGAGCCCCGAGCTCCTGCCCAGGCAGCACGCGGCCGCCTCTCTCCGGGGCCCCTGCGTGGGGCTCGCGTCAGGTGGGAATGGGAAGGGTTCTTTATTGACATCACCTGGAAATAAGCTCTCTGTGCGGCTGAGAAAAAAACAACAACACAAAAAACCAAACTAGTATTAGCCAAGTGGCTCAGTGGTTGAGCGTTGACCTATGAGCCAGGAGGTCACGGTTTGATTCCCAGTCAGGGCACATGCCTGGGTGGCACATCCTCAGTGTGGGGCGTGCAGGACGCAGCTGATCGATGATTCTCTCATCATTGATGTTTCTATCTCTCCCCCTTCCTCTCTGAAATCAATAAAAATAGATTAAAAACAAACACAAACAACTAGTATTCTACAAACCATAGCATCAGCCTCAATACAATTACGTCAGAGATGAAATAGAGGCTCAACTTACTCTCTTCTGGACTTCTCCACTTCCTTTTTAGAAGGCAAAGTACATCCATCAAACACAAGAATAGGCTTGATCCCATGAGACAGTAACATATTTACAAATTTCATGCAAAATCCTACATACCTATGAAAATAAAAGGCATTTAAGTGTTTTGCACCTTGTAAGTAATACTTCTGCTCTTTTCAAAACCTGATAAAATGAATTATGAAAAGAGGTTTTTATTCTTTTTAAAGAAAATGTCTTCATAGGAAATGAACATTAATTTACATCTCCCATCATTTCATTAAAAAAGGGGATCTTTTAACTCAAAATAGAAATAAAAAGGCATAATCTTAAAAAGCAATCATTTAAATCAAATATACCAGTGGTTCTCAACCTGGCTGCACATTAGAATCACCTGGGAATCTTTTTAAAATCCTGATTTTCTGGGCCTCATCCCTCCGGAAATTCTGTCTCTTTGTTATGGGGGGGGGGCCCAACATTAGGCACAAAAGAAACAGAATTTCCGGAGGAATGAGGCCCAGAAATCAGGATTTTTAAAA